TTAAATGCTTACTGCATGCTTGGAGGATCTAGTCTAAATGTTTCCTATGTAAAATCATATTTAATTGTTAGGTTTAGAATTGGAAAATAGCTGAGTGCTTCTTTAGATAGTCCTTCCAGCCTACTTAGTTCAGAGATGCCAAGTCTTCTAGAAAAAAACACTTGATGACTAAGCTGTAGGTCATTATGAGATTTGTGCTCATGTTAACATGTAATTAATCCTTCCTGCTATCCTTCCAGACATGAATTATTAAGTCTGAACTTATTGGAGAAAATGTTTTTTCCTCTGATCAAATTTCTTTTTCCATCATTTTTTAAAAAGACTTGTTTTTATTTAATCATTAATGCTCCATCATTGACCTCATAGGAAAGTATTACTTTGAAAATTTATGGCCAGAGGAAGTTTTTAAGTACACAGCTCATATTCATTTGCTCATTAATTTTTCTAGCAAGTATTCCCACTCTGTCCTAAATTACTAGGACTACTAATTACAACACAGAATAAGTAAAGCATAGTAAACATCCGCTAGGGGCTCATGGTCTCTGGTTAGCTTTGTAAGCCATCCAGAATAGGCATGTAAGACAGTCGTTAAGACACCTACCAAGCCCTAGAATGGCTGAACAGTAGTGCCTGTTGCTGACACCTTTGACCTTATCACATGCAATCATCTAATAAGGGAATTCTCAGAATAGTATTTTCAAGTTTACATACCTAAGTAATACAAGATTTGAAGTTGCTGAATCCATTTAGATGTATTTAACTTTTAAATTCTGGACCTGGTCTCCTAATCCTCGCTAACTAAACCTTGCACAAGTTGCAAGGGATGAGCGCCTAACAGTGCACCTGGTAACTCCAGGGAGTTTCCCCGAAGTACCCCTCGGAGTGGGGAGTCCTTTTGTCCTCTGGGTCTTGTGATCTGCTGAGGCTGTGAAATGAGTGGACTGTTGAGTTTACCCGGAGACCTTCCCCAGATGCGGAGTGTTGCCTTATCTTGCCTAGCACATCCTCAGATCTCTTTCAGACCTCTAGTTTTCTTGACAGTTTCCTAATTTTAAACCTGTAAGATTATTCTCTCAGGCTGTTGGCAGTGGCCCACTACCTAATTGTTTCACTTGTAATCTCCTGCCATCCAGCTATATTTCTGAATGATTCTCCCAGTGATCCTTTTGAAACACACAGTGAGTCTTAACGATTTCTGCTTAATGTTCATCAGTATCTGCCATCATCTATGGCCCAAAACTCAGAACTGCTTAGTCTGATATGAGTTCCCTTAGGAGCTGCCTTTGCCTACACACTTTCCCATCGACACTGTTCTCTCCACATTCAATCTGATGGTTTAAAACAACTGGAACATACCACATGCTTTTTTAGCCTCTGCCTAGTATGTATTGGCCAGCTACCCAGAATGGTTTCCCTTTCTTGTGTGCTTATCAAGCCAGTACTCACTCTTTAAAAGCTTATTGCAGATTGAATGCAAATTTGGGATGCCTTTTGTGACCTTTCCAGTCAGGCTTATGTTTTCCTTTGTTTCTGTTTGCCAATTGTTATGCTTGAGATAGGGTCTCATCATTTGTTTACCTGACTGTCTCCCATGGGCCCACTAAGCCCAGGAACAATGTCATGTTCAGCTCTAGGTTTTTCACACCTGGTACAGTTCATAGCACATAACAGATACTTAGAAATGAATAGTGTTTGATATTGTTCCCTATTATTCTCATTATCCATGAGGTTCGGGACCTTTTTATTTAAATTAATTCTAAAGATGTATTAGAGCATCTTTTATGGCATAGAAGTAGCCATAGATTTGAACAAGATGAATTGTTAACATCTTGCCTTTATATGAGTGTATAGAATTTCAGAAAGTTGTAGTGTAAGCAACAAGGCATCAAAATACCTCTCTTTTTGCTTGCTAGTGGTTAGGGGTAGCTTCTTGTGGACCTTGCCAGGAGGGAATTATTAACAACCCAGTCCTTAGTGTGCAGCCTTCTCCGTGAAGTCTTCCACATATCAGGAGCAAGCCAGTTGTAGTCATTCCTTTTTCTTTTGGTACCAGGGATCGAACTCAGCAAGGCAGGTGGTGGCACTACTGAACTAAATCCCTGGCCCTCTTTTCGGTTTCTTGAGACAAGGTTGCACTATTGAGTTCAGGATGGCCTTGAACTCACTGTGTAGTCTTGACTGTTCTCTAACTCAGATCTCCTGCCTCAGTCCCCAAATGTACCACCATGCCCAACTGTCCCATTTTTTCTTGAAAGAGACATTTTTGTTCACAGTAGTGGAATTGGTTTCCTAAACTACTGTTTTCAAATAATAAAACATAAACATTTATTTTGGGATAGGGAAATTTTCTCATACCACTATTTTACTGCATTATTTAGCATATAGAAATCATTGAGTACATGCTAATTTAGACTTTCTGATTTATATAATAGTTCAATTCCTTTAGGTAAAAACCTCAACATTTTATTATTCTCTAAAACCTGGTCTTTTCCCAGTTCTTTAGCATTTGAAGTGAAACGTCATCACATGTAACACAAGCATCAGTTTTTCTGATTCTCCACAGTGTTTCACTGAGTGCTCTGATGAGAAGCGGTCAATTGGATGTGAGTGATCAGAACAGCGCAAAAGGGTGATTTATTTGCAGTGAGCCCTTTCTGGAGCTTATCCTGGTTATCCTGATCAGTTTATTCCTTATTTTGGAAAATTATACCATTTTTTAAGTAGAAAGAATTTATTGAGAGACAGAGTGGGGTCTGGAAAGTGGGTTTCCCTGGAAAATTATACCTCTTAACCCTTTCAGTGGATAGCACATGTTTAGACCTTTTTGTTGGTACTGGCAATAGGCATATGTTTTTTCACTTGTCACTAATACTTCCAGAATTCTTAAATTGTGTTGATTTTTAACATGAGACAGGGATGCCTTATTGTGCTTGAAGATGAAGAAAAGAAACAAATGCCTATATAATCATTTAATGCTGTCGCCCCCCCACACCTTTTGGTAGATTTTGGTTTCCTTAATACAGTCCTGCTCTATTTTTCCATTATTCTCAGGATGTGATCACTTTGACTTGGTCATTTTTTTCTAGGGAACTCCAGAGAGAATCTGTGGAATTAGTGGTGATTTTAGTAACTTCCATGCTGACGGACAGTTTGTTCATCTCTGCAATAATTAATTGTAAAAAACCCAGTGTTTTTAAAGTCTGGGGCAGCAGTTAGCATTAGGTAGCAACTGAGTTGGCATGGGATTTTTTGTTTTGTTTTTTTAAGACAGGGTCTCACTATGTGTAGTTTAGGCTGACCTTGAACTTACATAGCCCAGGCTGGTCTTGAATTTCTGGCCATCTTCCTATTTCAACCTTTCAAGTCCTGAAATTATAGGCGTTTGCCACCGTGCCCCACTAGCATCTTTTATTTTAAATATTCTGCAGTAAAATTTAACATAACATTGTAGAGATTTATTTTGGGTAGTTGTCTTGATTTTTTTTTTTTAAGTAACAAGTTTGTGTTTTTTCAGCAGTGAGCCTGTGCCATGGTGGCTGGCTATGCCCCCTGATTGTGAGACTGTGCCCAGTCACTCTCAGCCATGCCACAGTCCAGTCCCTGGCTGTTGACCCTGGACACCCATTGCCTAAGGCTTCTCAAGGAGGGGCAAGAGGACGAAGAGCATAAATGCTGCAGTAAAATGGGTCCCCTCTACTGTTGGAGTAGTTAGAACTGCTGTGTAGATTTATGGGTTAGCACAATAAAAAAGTTATTGTAATAGTAAAAATTATCCCTTAAAGTTCACATTTCAAAGCCTTTTTTCCCAAACTCTTGATATTTTAATCACAGTTATTTAATACAAAGTATTTGTGTAAGAGAGATAATGATGACACATCTGTTGCTGCCCACCCTGTATCAAGACAGGTCTGGCAGGCCTTGTAGCATATACTTAACCCAGTGGGCCTTTGGAAGATTACTTTTCTGATTCATATTTTTTTACTGGATGCCAAAAAGTATGATTTTTGTAGAGAATAATCACACAGTGAGATGCTGAGAAGTACTTGGGAGGCTGCATGGCCTTGAGAACTTTGCTGTTTCAGGCTTTGGTGCTTTATTTCCAGTCAGAGACAATTCCATGTTTGTTTTACACTCAGCCATCATTCCAGAGGCTGGGTTGTTTTGTTTTTGTTTCTCGTTTTTTGGTGGTGCTGTGGATGGATGTAGGGCTTCGTGTATGCTAGGCAAGTTGTCAGCAATCTATACCCCAACATCTGGTCATTTTTAATTTTATTAAATTGGTGTTTACTTTTGGGTATGGTAGTTGTGTTTTCCATATGTCAGCCATGAGGACAATGAGACAACAAATGAACAAATGAACATTTTCTTCTGAAAATTTTCAACAGGAATATTAAAGTTAGGCTAGCCGTAGCAAAGTGTGTTGACCTTTTTTGTTTATGTAATTAGGATTTTACATAAGCTGACAATGTACTCTTAATATTATATCTTCTATATCTGCTGTAATTTTAATTTTGTACAGAGGAACAGCATCGTAAAACATGGTATACAACTTTATTTTTTAAAAGACCTTTAAAATGGGTAATATTCTGAGGACCACAGTTAGATATAAATGCCTTATGGCTATTGAACAAAAGTGCTATAGAAATCATCTATCTCTTGTAGGTAAGGTTGTAAATATTTGATGAATCTGTTCAGGTAGGAATGTTTTTCTATAATCAGTCAGTACTTTAAGTACTTTAGAGTTTTCTTTTCCCCTGTTCAGTTTTGGGCTTGTTCAGTGTTTACTGCCTGTGTCATTCTTTGTTTGCATTCCCACTCTTATGTGTCTTGTGAATTGGCTTGAATATTGCAATTCATTTTTTACTTTTAAGAAACCACATACTTTCCATATTAAAACATACTAGGTTCCAACAGATCATATATGAAACTTTACTTACATTACTTCTGGGTATCATTTCTAAGATAAATTGCTGCTAATGTTCTTTTTAAATTTTTAACAGCCTCAAGTACTACAGCCTTCCTGCAGCCTTCCCAGACCCACAGACCATGCCCAGGGAAAATTAACAAAGCCACAACACACCGAGGCCCGCAGTGAGTGCATGGTCCAGGGCCTGCATCAGGGCAGTGCATATCCAGATGGAAGCTTTTCACATGGCTCACAACAGGAAAACAGCAGTGGTTTGGAAGACCAGCCTTTTCCCTCCAGCCCACAGTTCACGGTGGTTGCGGCTAAGAGGACACCTTCTGAAGTGAACTGGAACATGGCCATGAATGCTCAAGAGCCTTGCCATTTGGAAAAGAATCAAAGTAGTGACATGCAGTTTGTACCGTCTTCTCAAACACCTGCCCAGTCAAGCACAGAGGACCAAGCTATGAGAATTGGAAGAGATCAGTCTCTTTTGGTGGGCTGCCCATCTCAGCCCAAGTCCTTGCAGCTTTTAAAGCCACCTGTCTTAAGTTCTTTGGCACCTCCTCCAGATTCTGAATCATCTCCAAGTAGGACTCCCACTTGTAAGAAGTCACCAATAGTCACTCAGTGTAATTCAGCAAAACTTCAGCCAACATCTGGTCAAGCAAGTCTAGATCCGAATTTGAAAGTATCCAAGCTCCGTCCCCCTTCCACCTCTTTCAAACAAAAACAAACAAGCATCCCCAACCTTAGACCAGAGCCTCAAAACTTCCAGGCCAAGACAAGCATCCCAAGGCCATTAGCACGGCAGAAAGAAATCATGCAAAATCCAAATGGCAGTTTGCATTCTGGGGATTGTTTGGCCTCTAATCGATATTCTCGTCTTCCTAAACCAAAGATACATTAAGTACATAGCCATCACCTGTCAATTTGGTTTTTTAAAAATCTATTCTGTAATAGTTGTATGTGCTGTTTGCTACCATGTTGGAGATTCTGTTGAAAGCCTGCAAATATCAAAATTAAAATGTGGAAGTTTCCACTGGTTTGGCTCTTCCATTTTATATCCTGGTTGAAGTGCATACCATCGAAGCATACTCATCTCAGGTAAACACAAAAGTTTGCTTATCTGTCTTGGAGGCCTACAAGTCTCTAATCATGCATCCATTCCCCTGCACATCAAGAAAGTCATAATGTTAGCAATCAAGAAGTATGCTTTGCTGATTCGGTCCTGCTCTGCGGTCTGTGTTGACTGCTTATCGGAGCCCACCCCTTTCCACGTGTTCCCCTTGTGAATATAGCTGCCACTTAACTAAAGATGAGGGAATAATGAAAGATGATCATCTGTAAGCAGAGCTCTGGCCAGTGTTTTGTATATTTAAAGGGTCTGTGCAAAATCTTGGTGTTGAATAAAGGAAATCCGGCTTTAGTGGGAAATCTATGACATAAAGTTTTATTTTTCCTTATTAGGATCAGCAAGCTTTACTAGTTGTTTGATTTACAGGCAAATTTCCCAGGCTGAAAATGTTCAGTATTGTATATAAGCCAATTATATTTTGCTTTAACATCTTGTTTTTCGTACACACATTACCACTTGTGCTTGTTTTGGTACTGGGGGGATGTGGAGAGCTTGTGATACACATTGAAACCCATTCCTAATGGTGTATTTATTGTAACATGTCTTGGTGCTAGCGTTTTGCTGGCAGTTCAGGTTCAAACCCTCTAGGCTTATTTAAGGTTCCACAGCATATATTTTAAATTAAGTTTTTATTGTAATATTTATATTTATTGACTGCTAATATCTGAAGACTGGAATAATGGACTTGAAATATTTGCACAAAACTTTGGTGGGATATAACTGCTCCACACATAGGGACTTAAAGTTTATTTTCTATAGCAAAATAAGTTAAAATATTTTGAAAAAATTTAAAATTTAGGACTCTTGAGAAAGGTAAAATTCATAATAGTTTTGCTGTTCTGATTTCCTAGGTTTTTCTTTTCAGTTGGTACATTTTTGAATCACAGTTCCTTGAAAAGTAGATTTGGGAAGAAAACTAGGCCTAGACATGGGAAGTTGTGTTTCATTAAGCGATATTTCAAAAGAAATATGCTCATTATTTTAATGTGCTACCCAAATAGCTGTGGAACCTCCAAGCCATCACGTGTTTGTATGCAATCGTGCTTTGGGCCACTTGTCCAACAGTTCAGTAACTTTGCCTTCCATAATCTGAGATCATCATGTCATCTTTAGACTGGTCATCCAAAGCTAAGTGAGTTGAAATTAATATTTTTAGACAAAAATACCTTACAAGCTCAATTATGTTTTGATCATTTAACCAAATATATCAAAATGAACTATGGACAAAAAATCACTTGAATTTCTAGGGATTTCTTTAAGAAATGTACATTACTGAAGTTATTTGCTCTCTTTTAAGAGAAAAACAGCAAATGCTTGAGTGGCAATTCCCAAAGTGGCGTTTGCTCCCATTCTGATACAGGCGTTACCCCCCAAGAGCCATGCTTGTGAAGCTCCCACGAACCTTTTGTTAGACTTGTTATTAGGTGGGCAGCACAAATCTAGTGTGGAACTCTCATGCCACAGCATGTGTCTTAGTATTTCAGATTTCCTGTGCTAATGCCAGAAAACCCTTTGCCTAGTCCAGGTTCTGTCAATGTAGGGTTGCTGTCTGCAGAGCTCTGCTTTGTTGGTGGAGCTGAGCCTGGCCAGCTGCAGCTTTGTAGGTAGTTGTGTGTGATCCTTTATTTTGAAGGAGAGAGAAAACCAATTTCATGCATTGCAAATAGGATGCTGTCCTACTTCTGTAAAGTAAAATGTACTAATGAATTACATAGTACGCTTCTGTTTTGTTTAGAAGTTTGGTATAGACCCTTATGAAATATTATTTACAAGTTGGCCTTATCCTTAGGGAAAACTTTTCACATTTTTATTTTTAACACCCCGCCCCCGTCTAAAGAAAATGTCTTCATTGACTGTAACATAAAAGTATTGACTCCAGTAATTTATTCCTTTTTACTCTTTTTTTATATGAATTTGTAGAAATGTAACACATGGATGGTTCAGCTTCTCTGTACCTTGGTTGAGCCTTACTCTTGGCAGAAGATAGGATTATCAACATAATTATGAAGCATATTTAAGAGAAAAAAATCTAGAATGCTCGTACTAGTAAAATATTTTCCTGCAGTTTTCTTTAAAAGCTGCAGCGTCATGCTGGTCAGCTCTTTAGTAAATGTTAAGTCAGAAATGGAAGCAAGCATAATGTTCTCCTGAGTAACCAGAGCTCAGCTTCTCATACTCAGTTTGCTCTCTGTTTTTTGCTTCTGCATATCAGCTCTGGGCCAAGCCTTCCTCCTGCAAAAGCTTAGATCACTAATTCTTTTGTTATTGTGGTATCAGTAAACACACTTGAAATGTATAAATACAAAGTCCTGAGGAAGAAGTTACTAGGCGGTTTAAGTTTCACATTTGTGAAAGAGAAAATTAAGAGTATGCAGAATAATGTATTTGGTTGTTAATAGGATGTATATCAGTTTTTCTAAAGAAAACTTGGCCTAAGGAGTTTATAAGTTTAGGTAAGAATGGTTTTAAGGCAGTAAACAATAGATTACAGAGGTGTATCATTTAGAATTTTCTAATAATTGAGAACATGTATTTTTCTTTTGGAGTCTCATTTTCATTTGTGCAATATTTCCAGGCATCTGAGACTACTGTTCATTGTATTTATATAGATAGTAGGGAACTTACTAAGTATTTTAACAAATAAACATCTGAATATGAGAGAATATATCAGATTTGCACTTTAAATGAGCTTAACTGCTTGGAGTTGTGCCTGAAATATCAAAATGCCTCCTCTTGGGTGTGGCTTTGTTTAGTGAAATGGATTTCTCTGTAATTGTTGCTGTTTGAAAATATCAGTAGAGCCTTTTACAGAATTCTGTCCCCAGCATGCCACTTTTTCCATTAAAACACTTTTCTTTAAATGTTCTGTTGTCCCCTTAAGTATTTAACTCCTGTTACTCACCACATCAGGGAGAGTCTGACCCCCAGCATCACTTCTGGGCAAGAGGTGCACTGTGTCTTCCCTGTAGTGCAGTCCCACTGCTGGGTTCCAGAGCATGCACTCGGACTCACCAGACAGCCACACTGGAAGAGGAGACTGCAGAGCCAGCTCTGGTTACTCTCTGCCTTACACAGTAGTTTCGTGTTGCTGAGTTACTTTGGGCAGTTATGTTTGCATGCTTATGCACACATTTGAAAATCATAACTGTAATGCTGACACCTTATATTGTCCCTTGGGGTTGATGGCCTTGCTATTTTTCTTAATTTTGATGCTTGAATTTTGTTTGCTCTTGGTCTTTTTTACATGTTTCTTTAAGTTTTCTGCTGCAGCAATTTGAGAGAATACATTTTATAGATAATTATGATGGTGGGCGCCACTGTACAATTATGTTATTAATTAAAATATATTGTTATATATTAATTAAAAATACAACCTTGTTGGGGAACAGTTACCCACTTTCTTCTTGGTAAAGCATTGCCATAGCAAAATAATACTGACCCTGAAAGTTTAAAGTCTCTTAAGTCATGACTAAAAGCAAAAGTAGTATCCACAGTATTGTTTTTTACATTGACTTCAAAAACTGGTTCCAAGTACATAAATGTATGTTAGGACTTGCCTGTAAAGTGAATTATAAAGACTGAATGTAAAGTCTCTTTCATGAAAGTCTTGGCATAGTAAATAAAAATAAAGTTCATAATTATAAAAAATTTCTTGGTCTTGGACCATGAGTTCCATGGTTTACATTTTTTCTGATACCTTTTCTCCACAAAGATAAAAGATACTGTTTGTTTGCTAGATTACTTTTCCAACTCATACTTTTTTCTACATATGCTCCTCTACACACACCTCATACTATAACCCAGATGAGGGAGTAAAAGTTTGAACAGCATTCTCTCTTTTCACAGATTCTGTCAGTGATCTAGCATTCAGTTTTCATTTGAATATCTTTTAAGAGAATACTGGTACAATGGATAATGAATCTATCACTTCAGTATAGAATACTGTGAACCTCATTCTTTAGTTTAATTGCTTTTAAACATTCATGTATAAAATACCTGCAAGGAAGAAAAATATTCAGTCAAAAAATTTTACTTCAGGGAATGGGACAATTAAATATAATTTTTTTCTGATTTAATTCGATGTGATAGATAAGATAAAAGTTGGTATAGTGATATATTACTAAACCAATATGGTTACGTATATGCTGGAAAAAGGAGGGGTTTTATTAGTAGTAAGTTTGACCATGGCTTTTACTACCTCTTAAAATACCTGTATCAACTTTAAAGCCATCTGAGTTATTAGCAAGTACTTCTTATAAGTGTCTCAAATTCCTTAGTCATTAAGTGTGATTGTTTCAGTTTCTTTATTTACACTTTTGAGTCCACATTTTCTGTTCCACCCCCACCCCACACACACAGTTAAACAGTAGTTAGTAATTCTAGCTTCTTCCTTTATTAGTTGGGCTTTAGCAGTTTGCATGGGGGCATTGGTGATCACAGGTGAACTCACTTCCAAAATCAGTTCTCAGCAGATGTGCTTTTGTGTTAAGATAAAAAATTACAGCTAAACAGAAATTAACCCATAAGAATACATTCACCAGCCTGAGACCTTAGTTCAAAATATGTCTGAGATGGGAAGCTTTTTAAGCTTGCATGACAAATTTTAGCACTTAACGTAAAGGCAGGTGAAGTGTAAGTGTGAATTGCAGTGAGAAAAAATAAGGTCTGTGTTGAATCATTAATACTGTTCTTTAAATTGTCTAAGCTTTGGGCTGCCTCAGGAGCGAGTCCAGGCAGAGCTTGAAGAATTTAAGGAAGGGGTCACGCCATACCTGAGCACCCCGAGAACCCTTGGTTCTAAAGGGAGCTTGGGCAGATGACAGTGGAGTAGAATATACCTACCCACCCCTCAGAGTGCCTCAGGAATTTAAGGAGGAAGCAGAGGAAACCATGGCCTTATACTGACTTGTAAATATTGCAAAAAAACCATTAAGTTCCAGTATAGAGCAACCACAAAAAACAAAGAATCAATAAAACATGGAAATTTATTGACCTTGGTGAGTCAGAGATACAAAATTGAATTACATGCTGCATATATGTACCTTTATGTGCAAGGAAGTATTTAAAAGAGTGAAAAATTAGGAATACCCAAATACCTGGCAGCAGAATGATTAAATTATTTCATTCATATGATAAGCTTTTTTTTATTGTACCAGGGATTGAACTCAGTTCCTTGTGCTTGTGAGGCAGGGGGCAGAACCACTGAGCTAAATCCGTGGCCCATGATAAGCTCTTCTATAGTCAGTTAATCCTCCAGTATTCAAAATATTAACATACAGCTGTTCAGAACCTAATGGGGCAAAAAGTAAACAAGCCACTACTAGCTGAGTAGAATTTCAATATGCATTTGTTTATGAAGATCTCTATAAAAAGAATGTGTTAATAATGATGGTAGAATTCAAAGTGATTTTACTTTATCCTCACCATATGTGCTTTCTTTTTTTTTCTTTTGGTACTGGGGATCGAACTCAGGACCTTGCACTTACAGGGCAGGTTACAGCACCACTGAGCTAAATCTCCAGCCTCTTTTTTTTTTTTTTTAATGATAGTGTATTTTTACAGAGAAAAGTTTTCTGTGTTTTTAAGAATAGGATCATTTCTATCACTAGGTAACCTTTGTAAAGCACTTGGCATATAGTCAGTCAATCAATAATCATTTCCCTAGTGGTCTCTGCTCATCACGTCCTGCTATTGGATGATGTTTTGGAAAATGAAGTATTGCAAAGACATGGCATTAAGTGGCATAGTTGCTATCCAACCTCCAAACTAGCATGACTGCATCTCTGTTTTACTCCTTGCTTCTCTGAGGTAATTGGGGTTGGGATTGTTACTGCTATGTGCCTTATAAGTAGGTCAGCCATTAGTGATAAAATCTATTTCTCCCAAACTTGAGTTGCCTGCTCTCTTACCATGTACTAGCTAGGCCTGGACAGAGTCATCTTTGCCTACCCCAGCCCTTTGCCATATTCTCCATGTATCTTTTCTTACTGGTTCTATCTGTGTTCTCCCAAATAGGAAGGCCATAAATGGACGTCTTTATCTTTATTAAATTTATTGGTACATATTAGGTATACAATAGTTACATTCATCATTGCAATCTTGTACCTATACGTGACGTACTGAGGTTATTTTTCCCCATTCCCCAGCCCTCCCCTCAGCCCCACCACTCTTCCCTGTTTACAAAGACATTATTTCCATGTTTTTCCATTTTGAATATTTGTTTCCCCTTTTTGCTTTTCCCCTATCCCTCCCACTTCCTCTACTCTCTTAGACTTCTTCCTATTACACCATATCAATTATGCATTTTAATTCTTAGTTACAGTTTTTCACACCAGAGAAACTTCAGTATTTACACATGTGTAACTTAATTTCACAAGAGTATTGCCTCAATGTGCATCCACTTAGCTATAAATCTCTCTACTTTCTCATTCTACATGGCTGGGTAGTATTCCATTT